CACACACACACACACACACACACACACACACACACACACACACACACACACACACACACTAAAAGCAGCAGTTATTGGTCAATCTGAGGAACCCAACATATTAACTGTTTAAATATTCTTCAGTTATTCTGTGCTCACACAGAACTTAAACTGAAAGGCAGAGAAAAGAAAAGGCAAATAAATTAGAATTAATAACCAAAGTAACCTACTGACTCGAGGTGAAGTGTGGAATTTGCAATGCAAAAAAGAAAAAAAAAAGTTTCTTCTACAAGACTTTTGTTCTAAAAAGGTGAAAGAGGAAATGCCATCCAACATCCCATCCTGTTCTTAGTTACCAATAATGACATGTTTCTCAGTTTGAATGCCACAGATAAAAAGGCCACTTTTAAACACCATTAAACACACAAAACAGAAAACATAGGGGAGACAGGAAGGTGTAAAATTAAGGAAAAGCAGCCTTCTGGTTGTCTATGGTTTGTGATCACAGTTCTAATTTTTTTGGAAACTTGGCAACAATAAAAATAAGAGAGAAGTAAATGATTTGGATGACTACAGTTTTCTTTTAAATATATAAGCGTTTGCATTCTGTGTCATTATACTGTGGCAGCTTTGAAGAGAAAAAAAAAATCCTGAGATCTGTTTTTCTAGGGCCGTTGCAAAAAAATGAAAATTATAAAACGAAAGTAAGGAAACGTTAGGAAGGGCTGGATCTGGATAAGGACAGGATGCGGCCGTTTTTCTTGCCCCCGTTCATGTGAGTGTAGGGCACGTGCTCCTCGTAGTTCCCCTGCCGACCCACGGAGGGCCCATTGTCTCTCCCCAGGCTCTCCTCCTGTTGGCAGTAGGATGAAGGGTCTAACGGGATGCTCTCCATGTTCTCGAAATCCATTTCGAACTCCTCGCTTTCAGGAGGCCTGTTCTCCTCGCTGTGGAAGAAGGAGAGCTCCTGGAAGCTGGGATGCAGGTGCTGTTTGATCCTCTCGATGATGTCGTGGAAGGAGGGTCGCATCTTGGGGTTATACCGCCAGCACATCTGCATGAGTTCGTGCCTGAGAGAGGGAGAGGATGACAAGCTGCAGGTTCCAGCCCTCACTGCTAACATCCCGCACTTGGGGACGACTCAGCTAAAGTTCAACTGTGAAGGTTCTGTATGTCACCTTCACAATATACCGACCAGACTTGCAGGCTGCTTTTTGATGAATTAATCAAACCGAAAGAAGGACTTACATCTCATCGGCGCAGTTCTCTGGCCTCTCCAGGAAGCCCCCGTCCATGACGAACTTGAGGACCTGCTCATTGGACAGGCCCTGGTAGGGCTGTTCCGCCAAGGTGCTGATCTCCCACAGGACCACGCCAAACGACCTGCAATGAGAAGAACAGATGAGCCCGAGTACAGGCTACCCCGGTCGCCTGGACGCCCCAGATTCCGTGGAAGCCAAACGTTGAGATGATGGTGGCGAGGTGAACGCGGATCGCCGTGGGCGGCACTGACCAACAGTCGGAGTGCGCGGTGAAGACGCCGTCCTTCAGGGACTCGGGGGCCATCCACCTGACTGGAAGAAGACCCTTCCCTCCTTTCCGGTAGTAATCTGTCTCATAGATGTCCCTCGTCATGCCGAAGTCTGTGAGGATTAATCGTGTCAGCAGCGGCCAGACAAAACCAAGCCAAAAGGATGATGCTGTGAAGGACCGATCCATGAATCTCCTCCGACTGACTCAGGCTGTCTCTGCAACACCGGCACTAAATTTAGCTCCTGACATTTATCTGACTCAAATTCCGCAATTTATTTAAAGGACCAAAGAAAAGCAGCACAGCATAAAATGATGAACCGGTCAAACTGGAAGCCGACTTGACTCGGTGTAAACAAGCTGGTAAGCATCCGCACACCCCCCTCACAAAGTCTCCATTTATCAGAAAATTACGAAGATAAATCAAACACAGCCCCGAATTCACATCTGCTTCCAACCAATAAGCTGTGGGCTTAGTTCACACTAACGGACCACTGCCATGTGCCAACAACACAGAAATTAGACAAAAGCCCTTTACCCCAGAAAACATCATACCTCCGATTTTGACAGTGAAATCTTCAGCAACCATGCAGTTCCTGGCAGCCAGGTCTCTATGGACGAACTTCTTGGCGTTAAGGTAGGCCATGCCATCGGCGATCTCCGCGGCCATCTGGATCATCTCGCTCAGACTGGGAGGGGGGCGGCCGGGGTTATTCTGCACGGGCCACAAGAGAGATGCGGCTCAGTGGAAAGGCGCGCCCAGCACAGCAGGGACACTCTCAGGCGACTCCCACACCCAGGAAAAGGAGAGCCTCGACCGGAAGACACCCCAAGGACACAAACGCTCGCACCTCCGCATCCGGCCGCAGCGAACGCAGGTAGCTCTTCAGGTCCCCGTGGGTCATCAGCTCCATCACCACGAGCGTGGGCTGGCCCTTCGACACCACGCCCAGGAGACGCACCTGGGGAGGCAGGGGGCCGGGAGAAGAGAGTCAGGGTTCGGCGGGATTCGGCAAACACGAGTGAGACACGCTCCTTCTCTCAAACTGACAAGACGCCAATGACCAATAATGAATGGTCACTCATAAGCAAGCATACACTGTTTATGCCTTTGATCAAAACAGATCTGGACAAAATCTGACAAATGTAAGACTTGAAAGACCCACGATCTCCCTCCGTGCCCAAATGGCAGCCCAGCCTTTGAGAGCCCCCCGCCCCCCCCCCAGCCCAACGGTGGCCCTCGTCAAGCCACGGCCGGTCCACTCACCACATGGTGGCAGCTGAAGGCCTTCATCACAGAGGCCTCATTCAGGAACTCGATCCTCTCCCGCAAGCTGGCCGACTCGTTGACGGTCTTCACGGCTACCCGCGTCTCGGACTCGCCCTTCACGATGTCCTTGGCGATGCCCTCATACACCATGCCAAAGCTGCCCTGGCCCAGCTCTCTGAGCACGGTGATCTTCTCTCGGGCCACCTCCCACTCGTCAGGCACGTACACTGAGCAGGGGAGACACCTGCCCCGTCAGCGCCACAGCACGCCCACCGCTTCGTAAACAGACGCCCAAGACCGCCGCGGCAGAATGGGCTCCTTACCGTCATTGGCACTGACATACTCCGGGTTTGAGGATGCATAGAGAGGTCCGGTGGGTCCAGCAGTTTGCCTGCGAGGAGGCAGAACACGTCAGGATGATGGCAGAAAGATGAAGTTACCTCCAAGGCGAGATGCAGCCCGGATACTTACTTCTTCTTGAAAACCACAAACACCCCGAGTCCCACCAGCAGCAGCATGATAACGCAGATGACTGGCCCAATCACAATCTTCATTACGTTGTTTGGGTCCGCCCCCCCTATGGCACGAAGCACCGTGGATGACTTTTAAATTAACCAATGGGCAACATTGCATCGCAGTGACATCGTACGACAAATCCCAAGCAGAGGCTGTCGGAGACTCACGGTCCAGTACGTAGAAGTAGGCCGGCTCAGTCCAGGAGCCGTTGCCAGCCAGCGACGTGGCCCGGACCCTCACGGTGTAGTTCCCGGGGTGAATCACTCTCAGCTTACAGCCCCCTATGGCCACGTAGCTTTTGCGGGACACGCACTGATGCAGCTCCTGGGAATAAATGGAAAAGTTATCCTGAAGGTTCCCAGCACCAGCGCACCCTAACAAGGAGGGCATGACCTTCAGATCAGTGTTCCTCAACGCGGCTCTCGAGGACCCCCCCAAACATGTGGACCGGCTGGGGCCCCCGAAACACTGCTTTAGAGACCCTCAGAGACCCCTGTCCTGGATAACTCAGAATCAAGATCTTCTCTCATTATTCCTGAGCTGTGTGTGTGTCTCTCTATATTTTCTCCCCCTTTTTAATTTATTTATTTTTTCCTTAATAATTATTATTATCCTGGCAGTTAATATTTAAACTCCATCAATATTCAAAGTTAGCAACGGTAAAGACAGAACTACTTTGTCCGTAATGGATGATCAACCTTTTTCTGTACAGAATGAGTGATTTTATCGGCTCATTCATCACTAAAAGCACCAGCCTGCAACATGTTTATAATTCAGTATTAAATCTGGGCTGCAAATTAATTTCTTGTTTTCCATGGAATAAAAAGATGATGTAATGTCATTCCGTTAATCTGCGCAAACTCGCCAAGTCCCCCCCCCCCCCGAATCAGGTAGGGCTTCCTGTAATGTTAGATTTTTTCTGTGCAGTTTGACAAACTTACACTCCTGTTTCAATAAAAACCATAAAAATGAACATTCTGAGATTCTACTTTCCTTGTATTCCATTAACAGCGTGGAATTAAGATAATCTTTGTGAAAATTTCCAGTGAATGCTTGAATTTAGGTTGTCAGAATTATTTTCAATTAATCTAAACAAATCGAATCATGAAGTTGATGTGGTCACTTTTGGATGCAATTCTGTTCAAACTCAGCCACAAGTACAAACAGACCTGAAGTGTATTATTTTTTATGGGTAAATTTTCCAAAGTATAATGGCTACATACATGAGGAACTTGACTCAAAAATTTTCATGTACTAAAATGACACAAAAACTTTAAATGGTTTTGACCCCAGGGTGTGACAGTGGCTATAAATCAATCTGCTGCACATGTGTGTCTAAACATGCAGATCTGAACATCAACAACTGCTGCAAGTTTCCACTCCGGAGCTCTAAGCAGCCGGTCTGGGTAGAAAACCAGATCTATTCTGGGATCTGCCAGATTCCAGCTGATTTAGTGGAGTCACCATGGCAACAGAAATACTACGAGCGCCTCAGCAGAACAGGGCAGAAGCAAGCGGCCAGCCAGCCAGCCCACGAACAAAACGAAAACAAACGCGGAGAAAAAACAGAGGCGGCCTGCAATGCTGCCACGACGAACTCGAGGCCTCGCTGGCTTCCGTACAGGCGATACTGCACAGATTCCAGGTGTAATAAACAAACAGGCGAAAGGAAAAAGCAGCAAGTCACATTCAGGTCTGCAGAGGGAGAGGAAGTGAACATCAGGGTGGGCCGGCTACCTCAGAGTCCCCCAGTCTCTTGTAGATGACATCATACAGGATGATGAGGCCATTGGGCGCTTTCGGCTCCTGCCATTTGACATAGACCACATTCGAGTACTGGTCCATGTCATGGGTGACGAGGCCCACGATGTCATCGGCTTTTTCTGTGGGGGGGGGGACACACAAAGATCAGGGCCAGGGCCTCCGAATGCCAGCAAAATGCAGGAGAGACACGGCCAGGATTTCCTGGGCGCATCCCAGACCTTCGGTCACCTGTACTGGAAAATGCGAATTTGATCCCGGTACATGGAATGTCCCTACAAATGTCCCTATCGATGCCCCTATCAACGAGAGACAAACAAGCCTTCGGAAAGCCGTCGTTATGTGTAATAGGTGTCATGGAAGTGAGATAGCAACCTTAGACACCATCCCCAGCCCATGTCAACCACCCCATTAAAACATCTTCCCATTGTGTCTAAACTATCAGGCAGCCTCCACCAAAACCCCCATGACAGGGGTGTCAAACTCCAGTCCTGGGGGGCCGGAGCCCAGCACAGTTTTTGGTTTCCCCTCGTTTAACACACCTGATTCAACTCCTTGTGCTAATTACCACACAGCTCTTGAGCTGAATCATTTGTGGTAGAATAGGAAAGAACTAAGCTACACAGGGCTCCAGCCCCCCAGGACTGGAGTTTGACACCCCAGCCCTATGAAGTGGCCCGGGGGGGGGGGTAGGTGGGAGGAGCCTGCGAGGCGGCGGCCCGGCAGAGAGCCGTACCCTCCGGCATGGTGCGCGCGCTGACGAAGGCGGCCATGCTGCATCGCCCCGGGTCCGTGGGGTGGTTGCACGCGTGGATCTCGATCTGGTAGCTGGTGAAGTGCTGCAGGTTGGGGATGACGGCAGACTCCTTGGAGGACACTTTGAAGACCGTCTTGCTTCCGTCCTCTTCCGGGTTATTGGTGGAGGAAGCATTGGGGAGGATGGGCAGCGGCGTGGCGAAGCGTGGGAAGGTCGCGTTGGCCACGCCCACTGCAGACCTCCGCCGCCGAGAGGGTCTGAGAGGGAAATGAGAGCTGATATTATTACCAAGAGAGAAAAAAAATGAAAGGCCAGTCAGGCTTCATAAAGACAAACAAAAAAAATCAACATTGATTGTACAAATCGGTAGTTATCCAGTATCCAGTGTCTGGCTCTCGTCGTGGGGTAAATATCAGACCACAGATGTTCAAAACCCTCAACTTGCATTTTCTGTGACCAACAGTAGATGGCGATCATGAGCCATTCAGATGAGCGGAACGGCAAGCTAATACAGCAAGAGCACAAACAAAAGACACACCTGTGTTTTCACAACAAGCCTCAATGACCCAAAGGCAGAGAAAGAGCTTTAGCAGATTTTGTAATAGGGCAGGCAAAAGTAAAAGGAGTGCTGTTGTTCAAGACGAATATGGCCCTAAGATTCCTCTGTTTCGAATATCACAGGAATAGTAACTTCAGCAAAGACGCCACGGGTGTGGAGATATACGCACACCAGCGGGTCGAGGTCATGAACTGTTTAGTGTCTTCGAAGTGTCTACAAAAGATATCATTTCGGCATGGACTCCACAAGGCGCCAACAACTTCTGCAAAAGATATTAAGCGAAGGGCATGGAAGCCTTCGAACGCGTGCTAGACGTGTCCTTCCGACACGAGAAGCTGCATCAGCGGCGACGCCTTCTGGTCCCTGTTCTGCTCCAGACCAGAATAAATAAATAATAATAAAAAAAAAAAACAAAGTACCAGGACCGCAGGAGAACCAACTGCGGCGCTAACATCTGCATGCCCGCCTGGCACAGGCAGACACAACAACGGGCACGTCCATCGCCCCCTGCTGGGGAAGCTGCAGCTCTCAGGCCTCCAGACAGAGGCCCATCAGCCCCGGCAACGGCGGCGTTCCAGAACACACGCCGTGAAAGGACCCGGCCGCAAAAAGGCTGTCCGGCAGGGTGCCCGAAACGGTCTTTATAATCCGGGGGGGGACACACACGGACCAAAGGCTCGGTGAGGTGACTCTCTCTTGTGCTCGGCGAATGACTGCCAAGCCCTTGGCGGCTCTGTCGCTCGCCATGCCAAGAGAGCGTTTGGGACACCCAGCAACAAAGAGTGTACCGCCGGCGGGCGAGACCTCCACGCCAATTCAGCCGCTGATCAGAAGGAAGCACCATACTACAGACTCGCGTCTGCTACCTAATGGTGTGGAAGGCGGCGGTCTGGGTCGAGAGACCTTACGGCATGTCACATCTACAACTGAACGATCGCGAAAGTCCACCCTAGCCGTCGGCCATAGATACGCTCCGGTCATCCTGTAGAACATCCCATAGTTGACAAAACTGACTCCTTAGAAACAGTAAGGTCTCCTCCTTACTTGAACTCAGGGGATATACAAGAGGGGGGGGGGGGGCACAGGGGGATTGGCCCCAGCTAAAAGCTGATTGGTCCCCGAAGTGCCTCCTCCGCTTCAGCTGAAAGCTGATTGGTTCCTGGAGTGCCCCCTCCCCTTCACTCAACAATTCAAAACACATAATTGACTAATGATAAGGCTGGTCTCTTTGTATGAATTATAGCACCTCTTATAGCACCTTAAAAATATTCTAGAATTGCCCAGGCTTGACCAGTAATTTTCAGAATTCAGAAGAGGCCCAATAAGGTCCATTGCAGAATGCGAATCCATCTTAAGCTAATACAGAGTTCAGCCAGACCCGATCAACATTAAAGTGTCGTCCATCTTTTTTCTGGTTGCATCAGTTTAATGCTACTTAGTTATGCATTGACACGCTTCACTAGCTCTTAACAAACTGTTAACCTTCTGGATCTTTCATTGGGGTGGGCCAGCAAAGATGTGGGCCGCTTCCAGACGTCCCCCTGCAGTAAGACACCCAGCACTGCGCAGCGTGTCAAAAGGGCTGATGAGGTGATGTGCGAGGGCCCCGGGGGGCCGGGAATTACTGGGGACAGTCATGAGGATACATCTGTCACTGCCCAAAATCTCAGCACTCCCCCCCTAAACTCTCAGGGAGCTTTTTAAGCTCTAGCAGCACAAGCGAAAACCTCACTGACAGGTCAGGTGCAGAAACCAGCAGGACTGACACACAAATAAAAACAATGATTATTAAATAAGTTCATAAAAGGTTTGACTTCATGTGGCCCACAGCCAGCTCACCTTTCTCATCACGGAAATGTTCTTAAAAAAAAGGAAAACTGGTTTTCAGCACAAGGCAGCATCTTCACCAGACCTTTTTTTCCCTTGTGAACTGATCTCTGACACCATGGAAACTTAAAGCTTTACTTTCAGCATTAGCTAGTAACACTGAACGGTCTACATTTCAACTGTGCTGTTCACAGACAAACATGGATTCGATGAAAAGTTAGAGAGGTTAACAAGACTGTCGCGGCTGCACGAAGAAGCGGGCAGGGGATGCTGGGTGGGGGGTGGCACCTGATCTCGAAGACCTCGTTGTGCAGGTAGTTCTCGAAGGTCTTGCGGTACTCTGACTCCTCGGCCTCCTTCTTCAGCTGTGTGTCCGTCTTGGGGCAAGCGCAACAGCGCCCCCCCTGGCCGGGCTCGTCCGTCTGGTTCCACTTCTGTTCCTCGTCGGTGTCCAGGTGGGTAGGAGCCCGCGATGGCAGTTTCATCCCTGAGTTCACACAGGAAAAAAAGCGGGTCACGCCAGTCCAAACCAGCCCGGGGGCTCCGGTCCAGGCAGGCACTTAGCGGTGACGCGGGAAAGCACAGGCCGGGCCGGATGACATCACCGCCTGGAGATCTGGGAGCTGGAGCGTAACGCACTCACCTTTCTGACAGTAGTCAATCTTGTAAAGGTCACCATCCTCCCTCTGCTTCTGGCAGAAGACCAGGTAGTGGGTAATATTTCCATTGGGGTCAGAGGGGGGTTTCCACTTCAGGCTAATCTGAGAAGACGAGTTGGAGGAGGAGATAGGGTCCAGGGGCACCGAGGGCTCTGAGAGGAGACACGGCCAATGAATATTTAGCTCACTGAAGAGGCTGAGCACCACAACTTAAGGAGAACCACCTCCTGCTGTTAAAACACATCATAATAAGACAGAAGCACGCCGACATCTCGCGGCACCTCATGCCTGTAATTAACATCACTGGGACAGCCACACCAGCGGGAACTGGTGCTGCAGTGCATTATGGGAGTATGGCCAGCTGTTTGCGTATACCGGCCAGCTGCCCGCAAGACAGGGCTGTTATTAATGCTAAAGGCCCAAGGGCTGTGAATGAGATCATTAAAAACAGCTATTGAATTGTTTTACAGAACCAGTTTAGACACCTGCCAGTCAAAGTTGTTTTCAATTAAATATTCCAGGAAATGTGATTGTTTTCGGACATAGACTGGCAAGCACACAAAGCACGATGCACAACTGCAGTCATTTAAATCTTCAGTTTCTAGTGCTTCAGAATGTCAACATAAATAAAGGTCTTCATACACCTTGGGCAGGATAAAGAGACAACAAGCAGATTTCAGTATAAAAACATTTCCAGGAAATGATTTACACAGTTCACCAAGTGTTATTATACTTGATAAAATTATAGCAAATCTGACTGACGGGCAGGGCCGTCCTGGCAGCAGTCCTCTGAGCTATTTCCGAAGACCGGCACTATAAGCGGGTTTTCCAGCACTAAGATCCAAAACCCCAACTTTAATAGGTCCATAACATCACTCCTAAAACTCACACACATCAATTACACAGGGCTGTTACCGCCAGGCACAAAACGGTACCGCTCAGTTTCTAGTAAGGCTTACTAGTGGCATTGGTGCGGACGTAAATGATCTCGCTCTTGGCTCCGTGGACCTGACGGTCATCAGAGGCGGAGAGCAGGGTTTTGACAAAGATGGCATACTGTGTCCAAGGCTTGAGCGGGTGGATGAGGAAGCCAGGCTCCTGTTGCTCCTTGCTGTCAGCGGAACGAGGAGGTGGGTCCACGTCGGCGATCACCCAGCTGTTAGAGCCACACGCATCCTGACCGTCAAACTCCGTGACGTTCCTGTACGGCCTAAACGACAACAGTGACGGACAGTGAGGTAAGAAGAAGTACCAGCATATGGACACAGCTCAAGTGCTTCTCACTGGGGTGATGAGTCAACAAGGTCAAGTTTCAAGGGTCAGAACCATCTAGCACATCTGAAGGAGGCCCCATCTATTCGCTCTGCCACTTACGCTTCCTTATAAAGGACTACAAATCCCAGCAGGTCTCGGAAATCAGGAGGCCAGAAGGGATGCCATTTGATGATGATCTTATCATACGAAGTGCGGATCAGGGTGAATTTTAGCACTTGGTTTTCACCTGAGGAGTGGGGAAGAAGACAAGAGGATCACCACACTGGGTAAAAATGGTAGCTTCACCTTGTGTACTTCATTTTAATACATATCGGCAAAGAATGCATGATAGCATATAGCGTAAGCCTTACATGAGGCCTGGTCTCCATTCGTCTTATGGGCGATGTCATTCTTGACTTCCCGCTGCTTGGTTCCCGTCACCTCCTCCATTTTCCGGATCTCCGACAGGCATAACTTAGAGTTGTAGTGGAAGAACAACCGACCTTGCAGGATTGTTAGGTTGTGTTTGGACCAGTCCCACAACTCTCGCAAGTTCTGGTTATCCAAGGCGTAGAATGAGTAGTTCCTTTAGGATTAACCAAGCCATAAATGAAGAGGTTAGCCTAACAATATAATAAAAAGTATCATCTTACTCCATGAAGCACAAACTCTCATTAAGAAGTAACTATGACCCAGACCCTTTCAGAAAGAAGCCATGATTGGTTTTGGACACACATTCTTAATACTGGGCATGTCTGACTGCTGTCAAGGAACAAAAGCAACTAGTTAATGGCTTGCGTACCCAACTTCCTGTGTCTCCCCACGGATGAGGCGGAGCTTGCGAAGGAAGGACAGGGACACAAGGGCGTAGGAGCGGCGGATGATGAGGTGGCCGGTGATCTCCTCCAGTTGACCAAGGCTGGTCTCCAGCTCCGCGGCGATGTTGTCTGGAGAAAGACCAGGAATTACAGGTGTGGACAGGAGTCGGCTGAGGGCTTGATGTCAGGCACCACACAACAGCAATGGGACGCCTCACAGGGCCTTCTTTGGCTTCCCGGCACTAATACTCAACCACGACTATAGGATGCCTTCACTGGGGAAAAGCTCTGGTGAGACGAGTGGGGATAAGGGAAGGCGCACTTACTCCCACCGCGGATGTTGATGACCATGCTGCCGTTGAGGATGGTGCAGCCGCGCAGCGCCTGGGCCGCGGTGACGGAGTCCACGACCTTCGAGCCCATGCACACTTTCGGGCAGAGGCCCTCACAGGGCGTGCAGTTCAACCTGCAGCCAGAATCCAGGTCAGGACAGAATTCCGCACCACGGCTTAAACAAACAGCAGCTGGAACCAAATATTTGCCGCGGAGTCCCACAAGGGGCCCAGGTCCGGCAAGATGCGTAGCGTACATGCAGTATTTCTTGATACTTCGCAGAGACTTAAAAAACAAAAGATGAAAGGAAGAGACTGGTGTTGGGTGTGGTGTGTAATTGTGGAGGACATTGCAAAGGATTTGCATTCCCGAGACATACTAGAAGACAAACAAAAATGCTACTCATCGCTGACTAACAAAAGCTTAAGCTTTAGGCAGTGATCTTCATGTTCTTTTCGCCCAGTTTGACTTGCACCAAACACTGCACTCTTATGCACCAAAAGGTGCATTTCTGGTAGTCACTCCAGAAGGACTACAACATTGATTTTTTTGGGTTGACGAAAGGGAGGAAGAAAAAAAATTATTGAAGGTTTTGTGGAGTTCAACAAAATTCCATGAATACTTCAGCTGCTCTAACAAGCAGGGCCAATTGTGTTCTTCCACAGGGATGGAATTTTACTGGAGGAGACTGGAATTCTTGAAAAGAGTAAGACTGTCAATGACAACAAACAGCGACCTACCTGCCGAAAGAGGCTTTGGCGGACATCAGGAGTCTAGCCTGTCCAAAATGACTGCCTAAGCCAAACTCTTAGTTCCCTAATCCTCTTAATTCAACAGCCTAATTTGTGTCTTTGATTAAATTTACGGAATTCTCCACAGTACAGCAGAAGCAGAGAATGAAAAAACATGAAAATCTTAACTTCTTTTTTTTTTTTTTTAAAGGAATTTTGACTGTTTTTTAAACTTTGTGCCCAATGTTACAAAAGAAAATATTTGGAAATATCTGCTACTCCAGGAAAAGGGTGATTTCATGACCATTACAAGACTAACCTGTTGATACAGCACCGGCCAAAATCAGAACAGGTATGAAATCCGCTCTCTGCCTCCCGCAGCCATATTAGCTGCCTCACTATTTCTAGTCAATTTTCCTGTTCTGGAGAAATGGCACCGAAATAAATCAGCTTTAAATAAGCAGAGTCGCTGTATCTTTTGAGTTACTGACCAGTGCCGACCGGCAAACTATCAGAATCAGTCGGGATTCTCACGTCTGACGGGCTTCAGGAAAGACATGTGACTACATTTGCTGGCTTTTTCCACACGCCATGTGCCTGGAGATTTTTCCAGCCCTTCATCTGCATCCAGTCACTTCCTGCTCCTTCTCATTCCTCAAACGCTACGTGAGGTTTTCTTCACCCATTAGCCGGTCATGCGGCCCGCGAATGAGGCTCGGAGGGGAGGGGGTGACTGCCTTTCCCGGACCGCTGGCTTCACGTGGCTTCAGGACGCATGCAAACACGCAGCCGCACATGTGCGCTCACGTGCAACGTGCAAAATCACATCAAGGGACGAATTACACCCAAGCGCAAATGAAAGATTCCTGGAAGCCGGTAACGGTCTAATCGCTCCCTGACAGCGCCGGCCTCCACACGGGGAATACAAAGGCATTGCAAATTTCTTTTTCCATCCCGCCGTTGGGGACGGATGAAGGCAGCCGGGGCCAGACAAAGGGCAGCATAGTCCCTGGTGGCTGTGGTAAACCACAGCGACCTCCTGTGTGCTGGGTTCATTCTGCTTTTACGAGCACATCAGCAATAACCGCGTCGGAAAGCTGTGAGAGTCCTTCCTCTCTGCTGCCGGCGTCACTCTCCACACGCAAAGTGCCATTCCTGGCCTCATTTTCTCAATTAGACTCCGGTTTCTTCATTATATTACCAAGCACAGCCTCCACAATCAGTCAGAAGCAGCAGCTTAACAGCCGAGGCCGTGTCAGACGACCGGCGCTGTCTCGCACTTCTGCTCTGGCACATGAGTTTTTTCTTTTTATTTCAACTTCTTTTTTTATAAAACTTGGAGGGGAACAAAAGCGGTCAGATGAGGCTAAGCGGGAATTACGTCAGGCTAGCGCTGATGCCTGGAGGCCGGCCACCTGCGGGAGGAGCTGGACGGTCAGTGGTGGCGTGGAAGTTTGGAGGGGTTCGGCCAGTTTACAGATGTTCCCAAAGACAGCTGAGATGTTCGGCGGACCTGCTGGAAAAGGCGTCTGGCAGGGCACCTCACCACATTTCTAATTCACCACGAGCGGGAATGGGCCACAGGAGCAACAGCGACCCCTGCTGGCCTCCAGCAGTTTCCAAAAGACACCGAATATCTCCTGTCTAACCATCCAAGTGTAACAGTGCTGTGTGTGGCCTCTAAAGGGACTGACAACTCTACTCCCGCCAACCCCACACAGATACACCCCCCCATTTATTTTTTGGTCCAATCCCATGTTTTAGTCATTTCTCGAGCAACGTACACCACTATACATAAGGAACTTCTCCGTCTGCTGTCTGTCATGAAGCCCAGCAGCTTATAAACTCAGCTGCTGACTTACGGCAGACGTATCACTGACAGTCAGGCCGAAATAATGTGTAATGTTAATTCTTTAAAATTATTTCAACCACTGGTCTGTTCTACAAACTCCGGATATGAAGTTCTTTCAAATCTACAAAAAAAAAAAAAAAAACTTGCTGTCATATTGTACGTATTATCGGGTGTCGCATTCATCACATAGAAGTAAGTTGGCTGGGGGGTGTGGTGATAGACAGGCCTCATTCAGCACATCCATCTCACTCCAGATACGGAGCTGCACATTCCTACTTGTACTTGGGGGGGGGGGGGGGGGGGGGGGGGGGGTTCAGGTTAGGGCTCTGTGGGGGGGGCTCTGTATCCCCAAAATGCTTCAGGGTCACCAGATAAACAAGAAGACCCTGTGTGTGTGTGTGAGCGGTGTGTGTGCGTGTGTGTGTCTGTGTCTGCGTGTGCGTGTATGTGCGTGTTTGTAAATAGTACATTTCCCCACAATGTCATAAAAACCCTTCTCCCTTAACCTCAATTTTACAACAGATTGTGACTGCAATCAAAACTAAAAATGCCAAAAATCTTGTATTTTGTTGGGTCACTTATGGTTAAGGTTAGGGCTGGGTAGGGGTTAAGGTCGTCATAGCTGGGATTAGGGTTTTGCCCATAGAAATGAATGGAGAGTCCCCACAAAGATATTAATATTAACATTGTGTGTGTGTGTCTGAAAGGAAAGCAACAAGATGTGATGTATGATAAGAGGCATTGCAATGTAGATGTATTCAAACTGGCAAATAAAGCATCATATCGTGTCAGTGGAGTAAGCAATAATGACAACTCCCCAACTGCACATGTGGGCTTAGGGTCCCATGGCACCAGCGAAGGATGCCCAGACGGCCTGCGGGACTCACGTGGTGGAGTTCATGGTGGTGTAGCCGGACGGGCACTCGGGGATGCAGGCCCCGTCGTGAATGACGTACTCGTGGCAGTCGCCCGCCTTGCTCTGCTTACACTGGAAGTGGAGGTTCTGGCAGAACTCCAGGGAGACGCAGCGCCAGCCCTTGAAAGTGTAGTAGCCCAGCGGGCAGCGCTCCACGCACACGCCCTCGTGCAGGAAGTTGCGGCAGGCCACGCAGCGGCTGGGACTGTTCGGTTCCAGGCAGCCGCCCAGGCACTGCTCGTGGCAGCACCGGTTGTCCATGGTGCAGGCGCGATGTTTGCAGGCTGCCGGACAAACTGCCAGAAGGAGAGAATAGGTTAGTGGCTACGTTCATTTGTTTGTTCACCCATTTGTTCAATCGTTTACTTGAACGTTCCACCAATTGTTCGGCTGTCCATCCACACATCCATTCACTTGCCCATTCCCGTGTTCGTTCGTTTGCCCAATCTCACATTTGTTCACTCGTAGTCTGCACAATCGTTTACTAGCAAACATGTTGTTTCACTTGCCTGTTTGTATTTTTGTTCGATGGCCCATTCGCACATCCTTTCAACTGCCCACACATTCATTCAATTTCCCATTCGCATATTCGTTCCTTCGCTAATTTGTTCATTTGCACATTCGTTTGGTTGTCCATCCGCACATTCACTAGCCCATTCTCACATTTGTTTGTTTGAATGTTTGCACATTCGCTCACTTGTTAATTTGTTCTTTCGCACATTTGTTTGCTTACGTGTTCACACATTCATTCATTTGTCCATTCTCACATCCGTTCATTTGGATGTTAGCACATTCATTTGCTGGCTAAATTGTTCATTTGCACTTTCGTTCATTCACCGTGCAGCCAGCAAAGGAAAAGCTTAACACGAGAGCCGCATATCAACATGCAGTGATGCATCAGCCTCTTCACACATGTGCCGCCACACCAGGTTCCTTGTGCAGTGGCATGCTGAGGGTCCAGCCAGATCTCTGCACTGCACTACACTGATGACAGTTACAATCATCCACCACAAACCACAAGCCTCCAACTCAAAGTGAACATGGCTGCATGTTTATTGAACATTCCCGCATTTCCAGGAGACATACATTGACTACTAGTAAATGCAGTATTAGAAATGACCATTCGATTTAACCAGTCGGGAATTCAGCAATGAATTTTCATACATATTTTACTGCTTATCTGGTACAGGGTGACAGTGAGCCTATTCCAGGCTGCCTAAGAAACAAGGCATGAGACGTCCTGGATGGGACCCTAACCCATTACAGAGCAGAGGCATGCAGACACACAAACATAGAAACATACACACAACCATATCTCACATGAATGCTTTCCACGAATTACATGACTTATTATAATATAGCATAGAGATTCAATAATTGTGGATGAAGTCTGCATGAGACACTTCTGCAATATTAAAGCAAAAAAAAAAAAATCTGTTTATAGGGAGTGAAATATGACTAATATGACCCATCTACCTACAGAAAGTCCCTAATGCAGCTACGTCAATCCAGGAAAGACAACAATCCATTAAAAGAAGAGGGAAAACTATGAGCTGTACTTTCTTCCCGGAGCTGCCTGTGAGCACTTGGGGAAAGAAAAGAAAGAAAAAAAAATCATTTGGGCGTGAGTTCGGCCTCAGCTAGTTAGCTTTACATGCAGTTTCCAGCTGTATTATCATTCGATGTTTGTGATATACGTGCGTTTATGTGTGCATTTCACGCTCAATAGCCCAGCTGTCTTTCTTAAAGTCACTGGTGGTATTATTAATAAATACGTATAAAACACATGAGATTAAAGCTACATGGTGTACATTGTCCCCCATAGTTTAATGCTTAAAGCTGACTTTACAGGACATGTCTGTGTTATTTAGGTTTATCCATGCTGTCACGTTGCAGCAAATCGCAAGTGGGCAAGTGTAGTGGGATCACAGGACTGTTGCAAGTGAACACAAAACTATTTCAGAAAATATTTTCCTACCCAGACCTCTTAGGGGGTTCTGTAGCAGTATGAACTGGACAAACATCCGTAAATAAATAGGAGGCAAGTCACAAATGTAACACAGTCCAGAAATAGACAGGAAGTGATCCACAAATGTGCAAAATATGTTTCACGTGTACAAATCGCTCTGTATTTTTGTGGATATGATTTTGCACAACACAAATAAAAAGATACATATTTGTGGATAGGTACATGTTTGTGGATCATGGCACATATTTGTGGATTGTCTTCTGTGGGTTACAAATAATGAAGTGCAATGAAAACGTCCATACAAGAGCCACATCCCATGTGGTGGAGTGTAACCTTGCAAAACTGTCATCCAAATGATGCAAAAATGTTGCCCTAAACAGTGTATTTTGCAACACCATGAAATAAGTGATAGAGCATATATTTGTCGTCTGATATATATCGTCATATCGCACCACCCTAGATGACAGGGATTTTAAAAAAAACTGGGGATTTTTTTTTTTGTCGTCAAACGTCTCTCAGAAACCTGAGAATAACAAGATGACAAATGAAGATGCTGGACTATCAAGCACTTGGATGTGAAAAATAACATTAAGCAGGTCTCAGGTCTTTCTGGTTTGTGGGTGGAACACAAGAACACAAAATAATTAATAACAACAATAATTCAAATAATTAAAAAAAAAAAACAAAAGGTGCTTTTGTTTGGAACTGAACTGCTGGGTAAAACTATTTCCATGCCCTCTGTAGAACAGGCAGGCCACAGGCAGGCAAGTCGGTCCGACAGGCAGGCCACAGGCAGGCAGGCCGCCCTGACAGGCAGACAAGCAGGCCGCCCTGACAGGCAGGCCAGCACAACAGACAGGCAGGCCGGCCCGCCCTCATTCTAACACCAAAGTGCAGTCACAGAGTTCAATCCACAAACAAGGGGCCCATGTGACCACATGGAGCGTTTGCAACCTGGGACACTGTCGTTCCCACCAGCTGACTTCATTCTGATGGGAATGTTCCACTCCGCAAGAAAGTTAAAAATAACGCAGCTGGCGCTGGTGCAGAGCACATACCGGGCGATAAGCAGGGGATGCACTGGCCGGCAGGTTTGGTCGGCAGCCACTCGTGGGCTTGGGTTCGGGTGACGCAGAGTGCTCAATCTCCAGTAGCAAAGAGGAAGACTCAGTCCTGCGCCTCCCACACCTCTGTCAAAGTACCATGTGAAGGTGCTCCAGCCACCGGCCGACAGGCTCCTAGAGAGCTTTCATGAACGACACGTCGCATTTGCAAGCCCTGCAGGACAGTGTGGGCGTACACCTGCCCATCATCCCTGAAGAGGGCTTCAGCTCCAACTCTGACGCAGCCCATCGTCTTCTGGAGGAGAAACAACCCAGCACTACAGCCACAGATTCAGCCTAAGTCCTGAAGAGCGACATCAGGATGAGCCAGCAAAGACAACGAAGGAAAGCAAACATTCAAAGGTGGCATTTATTATTCCGGGAGACGCGAGGCTCCAAGGCGCGACAGAGGGAGCGAGGATGTGGAAACGCGGGGACTCCGGCCGCCCCAGCAGGCCACCGATGCACAGAGACGAGCATGAATATTCAGGCAGGACACACCGCGGCGTGACATGAAAGATGACAGCGCGGGAGGTCACCTGACCGCATCACCACTCGGGGGGGTCCAGTGAAGGCAGCGCAGCGACAAATCTGTTTGACATTTGGGCTGAACCCCCCCCCCCCCCAACCCAGCCCTGGCAACCCCCCGTCATGTGACACTGTCATTCCCACAGAAGCAAAAACAACAAGGACCCCTCTCCTTCCTCCCCGAGCAGGGAAGACACTCCTCTGCCTGTGTGAAATTGGGAGGGAGAGACATGTGTAAATGGGGGGGGGAAATGCACGTATGCCCGAAAGAGGATCGAGATAAAAACAAACAGGTACCACAGAGTGAAACATGAACGAACAACAAGCCAGCTTCCCTCTCCTCTGCCTGGGCACGCTTATAAAATACAACACCTCTGCAAGGCCACACCCTCCCCTTCTGTCCCCCCCATCTCCCCGCTGGTCACGGCTGCATGTATACCGCGCTCACGCTGTGCTCAGGCGCTCCTGCTCCACTCCGAGTCCATGCCAGAGAGCAGGCTGAGCAGGAGATCCGCCCTCACCCTAAACCAATGCGCATGCTGGCCTTCCGCGGAAGGCAGCCGCTCGCTAACCCTCGCAGCCGCTAACCCTCCCCACCGTGGGGCCCGTCTCCGGGGGCAGGCATATGACGAGGCCCGCGGCGGGAACATGCGCGCGGGGTGCCAAATAGGGGCAGCGAGCGACAGCCCCGCGCCCCCAAAGCCAGACGGCGCATGGTGCTAGGCTAACAGGCTAGCTGAGGCTGTAGTACAGAGGATAGCAACAGCACTGCTCTCATTATGCCATTTTATTTTTATTTTTTTAATAAAACATACGATGCCCTGGACTGGTGCTGATGATGTCTGTGCCGTGTCTCCGAGACAGCACCACATTTGTTCTGCACAACACATTTTTATAGCAAAGAAATATGAGATCGGCAAGCCTCTAGTCACAAACGACTAAACGACTTGTTTAGTCAGTAAACAAGCAAATGAAACAAACGACCCACTGAAACGCGGGATGGGGGCGCGGAACCGGCGGACCTCGGCGCGGAACAGAAAGACCTCGGCGCGGAACCGGCGGACCTCAGCACGATTCCCGGCAGTTTGTAGAACAGGAGGCCCCTTTTACAGCCCCATACACAGACCGGCATGGGGTGACGCGCTTGTGGCCTCAGTGGACCTACAGTACCGACAGGCGCTGCTTAGGTCCAGTTAGCAAATGCGATACGTGCAAAGCTGAGTGTGTGAGAGAGACGTTTACATAGCTGACGGCTTGTTACTGTAATCCGGGGAGATCGGGGCAGCACACAGCAAGGCTGGTGTTTTGTTTTGTTTTGTTTAAAGTTAGCCAGCGGTGGGTTCACCGAGGACGACCAGCATGAAATGAAAAGTTACACTCGCAGTAACACAGCAAATCAGCATAACACCAATGAAATAAATAACAGCTACACACTGACTGGGGAAACTGGCCATAACATTCTGTACCAGTACAATCCAGACTGTCCACCTCTCACCCAGTACAGGCCTGGAAGAACATGGCATAAGAGACTGGACCCCCCTAGGTGGAGTGCCAGGTCATCACCAGACACACCCCCAACACGCACAATCAAATAGAATAGATGATCTTTGCCCATTTAACTGTTCTATGCTCTATCACGGTCTGGGCAGGGTGAGGGACGTGAACACGTGCCGCCCTGATTCTGGAGACTTCAAGG